AATTAACCTCACATCCCAACTGCCCAACTCCCTAAGCTGGTATTCTCCTCTAAAAGATATATCCAGTGCAATTTAAATCAAACATCACTAAAACACCAATATCCAAAACACAAAACAACACGAGTAACAGCTCAAATAAACCAAATGCAATCCATGCAAACCTAAATCAGATCCCAATTTATGAACACCACATCATAAAAACAGCTTCGATCACAAAATCCAAAATTAAACCCTAATTAAACATCAAGTAATCAAAATCCAGAAATTCAACCAAATTAAACAATCAATCAACCAAAATACAACCCAAAAATCAAAACAAAATCAAAAGAGGAGAGAGAAATTGAGAAAATACCGTCCAAATGTCGGCAGGGACAAGAATGATTATAGAAAGAGAACAAAACCAAGCATAACCAACAGTAAGGAAGACATATCGAGGAACATGAGGTCCAGCAAAGTATTTTAGGGTTATCACAACCATCCCCAATGTCATCGGCAACGATATCAGGTAAAACACCCACATCTTCCTCTTCTTCTTCTACCTTCCGACTACCAAATTTTCCCTCTTTTTCTCGTAATTCGATAAATTAGGGTTTTGAGATGAGATTGTGAAGTTGAAGCTTGAAGAACACAACAATGGCGGTTTTTTTTGTTCAATTTGATCGATAAAATTTGCAGGAAAATGTTGAAAAAATTGTTTTCCTGCAACAAGACGACTTTGCGTCCTTTTTTTTTTTAATTAATTTTGTTTTGCTTAAAGGAGGTGAATTTGTTGGGTCTAGTCAGCAGTTTAAAGTGGACCCACTAAAGTTACACGACGTAGTTTGGTGCGTTTCAATGATGTGGGCTTGTTTAGTGGACCTAGTCTTCTTCTACCTATATTACGAGTACCATATTTATATTCTAGATTAATGGCCGTGATCTTCGGAGTAACTTGTAAATCTAACTTCATCCAACAAATTTAATTTAATTTAGTTTTGTCCTCAAAAAAAAAAAAAAAAATTTAGTTTTTTTATTGGAAAGTGACTTCAACAAAGTCTTAATACTAGGTATAGACTATGGAGGATTTACATTCTGCGGTCACTTTAAGGCTGGGGATCTCTTACCCTTCTTCCTCATTCTTAAAGTGTCTGACCTGTAAATATTGTACCACAAAGTCATTAGCGTTGAGATTCGATTAGAAGTTTTCTCCTTACCAAAAAAAAAAAAAAAGTATTTATTACAATTTATAGTAATGTACGGTATTTTTATCCCATACACGTATGATTGGCTGGAATCGAACTCATGAGTCATATTCTATCCATAATCAATTTTTAAAATCGAGTTTGGCTAAACAAAAATTGTTCTCAAAGTCGGACTCAATACTAAAATAATTATGGAGTGTTGTAAAACATAGGAAAAAGAAGAGCAAAGAAGAAGTTGCATGTATGTAGAGAGTAATCTTAGTTGGTAAGGGAGTTTGGTTACTAATGCTAAAGAGAGTTGCAAAGATATGTAAAATGGACATTAAAAAAAAATTTGTTCAAAATAGAAATAATTTAGGCCCTGTTTGGTGGTAGCGTTTGACGTAGAAATTAGAGTTTTGACTAGTCAAAACACTACTGTAGAAAAAAATTGGGAGTGCTTGGCAAGGTAACAATTCTAGTAGCGGTTAGCAATAGAGTTAGCATTTAGGCATCTTTTCTTCAACGTTAAAAATAGTAGCGTTCAGAAGTAGCGGGTAGCGTTTAATAAATTTTTATTACTTTGTAATTAATATTTATATGAATTTAGATATGTTTTTAGTATTACAACCGCTATTTTTGTCAAACACTCATACTATCAACCTTTACTTTGACAGTTAATCTCTACCCACTACTAATTGACAGCTACTCGCTACCTTAACAGGGATCCGTTACTCAACCGCTAAAAGCTACCCGCTACCGCTATTTTTGCCAAATAGGACCTTAGAGTGAGGTTTTGCTACAAATGTTTTTCTTCTTCAAAAAAAAAATGTGCTACAAATCAAGTGTTCATACTTCGAATTCTACGATGCAATTTAAGTTTTTAGTTTGTGGACTGTGCTACAAAGCCTATGATGAGGTCTGTACAACAATTGGTCTTGGCTGCACTAGATATAACAAATAATTAATATGAACATGATAGCTACAACAAGTGAGGCCCAAAACGCGCGGCCCAAATAAAAAATGAATATTTAGTTAAAAAATATGAACATGAAAAAAGAAATGAACACTTAATAACAAAAAATGAACACGTAAAAAAAATGAACATTTAATACTAAAAAGTTTACATATTATAAGGAAATGATCATTTATTAAAAATGAATCTGATTATCATATAATCTAATCATAAATTTGCTAGACCACGACCTTAAAAATGAACATTTAGTTAGAAAAATGAACACATAAAAAAAAAAAAAGAATATTCAGTAATAAAAATGAACACGTAAAAAATGAACATTCGGTAATAAAAAGTGAACATGTCAAAAAAAAAATGAACATTTAGTATATTAGAAATGAACCTTTATCATACAACCATAAAATTGGGATCATATACATCGGAAATTCTCCAACTTAAAGGCAAATTCGTTGTAATATCATATACTTCTTCATCGCTTCTTACTTGTTTCTTCACTAATTTAGAGTCTTTGTCTTCTACAAATACAATTAATTTGTACTCACTAAAATATAACAAATAATTATAATTCATAATCATCACAACATATGTTCATAATAATTATTTAGAATGTTCATAATATATAATCATCAATACAGTAGTTAAAAATATAAATAATTATCACTCTATATGTCATATGTGTTCATAATCAATAACAGATATGTTCGTAATGAATAACGAAACATATATATTCATAATAAATTGTTTAGATTTTCAACACTAAATGTTCAGATAATTTAACTTTCAAAGTATTATATTTTACTTTCAACCTAATAAAAATGAACATTTAGTATTAAAAAATGAACACTTATAAAATGAACATGTAACAAAAAGTTATGAACATTTAGGATATTAAAATGAACATGATTTTCATAAAGGTTCAAATTCACCGTATACAATTATTAACGAAAAATAAAGATGAAATAAATTTTTGAAATATGTTCATTTTTTATGTATTTAATATTCATTTTCGGTGTACTAAATGCTCATTTTGTAAAAGATGTTCATTTTTAAATTCCTACGTGTTCATTTTTTTTTACAGAAATTATATTCAAGATTGATTGTAATTATTGAAACTCTAAAAAATTGAATATACACGTTAAATCTAATTTTGATTCATCATAGAGAAATTAATTATTGATTTGTAACATGATTAGAAATCAAAAGAAAAAGAGGGAGAGAGAGGGGGGGGGAGAGAGAGAAAATAACTACAAATTAAGCAATACCTCAATTGATATTCATTAACAATTAAGCAATTTAATTGATATTCATCACAAACTCATAATAATTTCAAACAATCAAACAATAAATCATCATGCATGATCAACGAAATCATACAAAATATAATTACAAATTGATAAAATCTAACCTCCATTGTTTTCTTGACCTTCAACTTTCTCTCTCCTCCATTTTTTTTCTTTCCTCTTTGATAAAGCCAAATGATTGAATCTTAAACTCATAGATTTAGAAAGAAAGAAGTATACCCATCAAAACTCGAATTAGTAACTCAAAAATTTATATAAAGAAGAAGAAAACTTTAAAGATTGAAGGGAAATGAGGTAAAGAGGAGAGAGAAAATGTTAAATTGAGAAGAAAACTTAAGAGAGAAAAATAATAGAGCTAAGGAAGAAGAAGAAAGAGAATTAAGATATAAGGAAGAAAAAAAAAAGGGAAATTCTCAATGGTAGCCTCCTGTTTTTGCTTATTTCCAATGGTAGCCAATTTTTTTTTTCGATTATCTTTGGTAATCCTAAACTTTCATTATTTTACAACCTTGACCTTAATGATGATTTTTCCGTTAAATCTAACTTACTACTCAACTAAGGTTAAACTATTCAAAAAAAAAAGGAAAAAAATGTTAACTATTTTAATTTTAAAAATTAAATTATTAAGAAAATAAAATACCCATCCCCAACCAGCCTTGACCTCCATTGACAAGCATCCCAGGAACCACCTACCGACCAGAATCCCGCTGGCCACCGTCGACCAACATCCCCAATCCCTCCGTCCACCTTCGAAACAACCCCTCATGCCGGCAATCCAAATCAGACCCCACGATGTTTCCCCTAACCCCGACCCTTTCTTTCTCTCCAAACCCCGACCCCGACCCCAGCCCAGACCCCAATGGCGTGGCTAGGCACTCTGCCTGGCTACGCCGTTAGGCATTGCTGCGGCTAGGCAGGGTGCTCAGTCAATCTACTACGACGCTCAAACTAGCAGCAAGTCGGCAAATTTAAGGGCGGGGCAGGGGGCTGCTGCTGCCGTGGTTGGGCATCGATCAAGCCATCAATTGGTCGCGGTTGTGGCTGGGCTTTGGCTTGGCTACGGGGGGCGTCGGCGGCTGCCTGTTGTGGTATTTTTAGGGATAGATAGAAGATAGGGGTAGTGGTTGGCTTGTTGTCGTGGGGGTTTTGGGGTTGGGTGGTGGCAGGCTGGAAGGAAGCCATGAAAGAAGGGAAGCTAAGGAAAGAGAATGGTTGAATAGAGACAAAAAAAGTTGACCATGGTTAAAGTTAACGGTTAGTTAACGGTTTTAGGCTTAATAAGGTTACGGATGTAAGTTTTTAACAGTAGAGGGCTACCAAAGATAATCGAAAAAAAAATTGGCTACCATTGGAAATAAGCAAAAACAGGAGGCTACCATTGAGAATTTCCCAAAAAAAATGTATATTCATTTTAACGTACTATATGTTCACATTTATTGGTGTTGCAGCTAGCTTAGCTGCACTAGAATGCAGCCAAGAATTTGCAGTCTGTACAGAACTTGAAGCTTGATGACTAATAGGCTAGTAGCCCATATAACCAAAAGCCATAGCAAATTGGCAATGGCCCAAACATAGAAAAACAAGGGATGTACATATTGTGTTTTTTTAAAAAAAAAAAAATCATTATTAAGGGGGTTTGGATCTTGACAAGACCTCAACCCTCACGGCGTTTTGATCCAGTATTCACGGGTTAGAGACTTGGGACTTGGGAGTAGAGGGGAGGGTAATTAATACCCTCAAGGCCTCATGTACCCTCAATTGCTAGGATTTGAACCCCAAACCTCTAGGATATGATGTAAGAACCTTACCTAGTGAGCCAACACTTTATTGTTATATACATACGAAGTTATGCATTAATGCCTATAAAGCATGTATTCCTCTTTTTTTTTTTTTTTATTTATTTATTTTTTTTTATTTTTATTTATTTTTTTACTTTTAAACATTAATATTTTCAATAATAAGTATAAAATACAAATATTTTTTTTATTAAATGAATCTAACAATGCAAGACCTCACATACTTACGTTTTTTTTATTTTAATTATTGAATATTAATCACAAGCGTAAGTCAAAGTAAGATATATGTGAATAGTGTCGAACTCAAAATAATGCCAAGTAATAATAAATGAGGAAGTACATTACAATCTGGTGTGAGTCAGTGAGTGTGTGACAATATTTGAGATCGTTTGGTTGGAACATTTAAAATGGGTTCGAATGGAGTTAGAATGTATTCAATCTAATTTTTTATTTGGTTGAGATTTTTATTAATGGAATCTCATATTCAAGGGGTTCTAACTCTCTCCCATACCCACCTCGCCCCTTAAGATTTACAATAGGTACTGTGATGATGAAGCATATAATCCATTCCAACAATTAGACCAAACAACTTTGGATTAGTATGGATTTTAGAATTCATACCTTTCTAATATGAGATTTCATAACAATCCAGGTCATTCCAATTTGATGAACCAATCACCCCTAAAGGATGGCTAAGGTTGGACTCCGACCGAGGGCCTCAATTAAAGGGGGGGATTATGGATTTTTTTTTTTTTTTAATGATTATAAGGAATTATTAATTTGAACACATTTTTTTAGCATACATTACCGGCAAAAAAAAAACTCATACTAATAGAGCCAATACCAAGATATCTTTAGTCCATAATAATAACCATTATAAAAATGCAAACCAAACTACTGTAGCTTATGAATAGTACTTTGTGGTGCTATTACTTATGCGCCCCTGAATTAATTGAATTGCCGATTTTACCCTTTATTGTTTATGTTTCTTTGGTGGCCTGGCTTTTGGCAGCTGTCTCAGATTGTCTTCTTTCTCTCTCTTAACTCTTAAGTCTTCTTCTTTCTTCTCCTCTCACTATCTTTCTCTCTTCTCTACCCGCTCTCACTCTCTATCTCCTCCATTGGAACAGTTTCTGAGGTTCAAAACAAAAAAAAAATTATGATTTAATTTTTGTTTATTTCTGGTGTTCATCTCTTCGATTAGATTTTTCCGTTTATTTGACTGATTTAATTTTTGATTATTTCTGGTTTTTTTTCGCAGGATTTTTTAGGTGGTTACAGAAATTGCTCCCCTTTTCTATGATCTAGATTTTTCATTTTTTTTTTTTGGTATAGGATTTTAAAATATTTTTGTTTTTTTTTCTTCGTGATGCAGGTTCTGGTGATGGTAAATTGCTCGTGAAAAATTGCTTCCTCAGCTTCAATGATGGAGGAGATAAACTGTAATTGGAAATAAATGGTATGTATTACTCTAAGGAATCTTCTTCAATCTTTGTAGTCTTTTTCTTTCCAACCTTTTTAATCTTTTTCCTACTCATCTTCAATCCTCACGAAAAATCAGGTACCTAATTCTTTTCTATTATTTTCTACTTTGATTTTGTTTAATTTTTAAATTTTGATTGTTATGTAGTGGTTTTTGTTGATTGTATGACTTTTTTTTAAAAAAAATAAAGTTGTAATCTTGATTGTATAATTTGATTGTTCATCTGAATTATTTTATGAAAGTTGTTGTTTTCTGGTTCTTTTTCGTGATTATATTTTAATTTAATTAAACCCACCATTAATTCGTGATGGAAATTTGTGGTTAACATCTGGATTAATAATTTGTTTGAATAATTCATTCTATTGATAAAGCACTTTTCTTGTTTGTGGAAATTGTCATGAATTTGTTGAATTAATAATCGCAAATTTATAAAAATTCCTTTTATTTTTAATTGAGAATCATGGTTGACCTGAAAATTTCTAATCAGAGCTAAAAATTCGATTAAGAAGTTAATTAGTTGATATTATTAACTAGGTTTTCAATTCTTGAAAAAACCTAATTAGGAATGGATCAATGGATTATGATGTACCTGCGTTGTACTTCTTGTTGTTGTTGTAATCAAATTTTTTGATTCTTAGGCTTTGGAATTCTGATTTTTGACATATAATCTTCTTATTGTTTCATCAATTACCAATTGTTATTGTTATAGTCTTATAGAAATATAGAGACTTTTTTGAACCAAGCTCAGTATGTTTTAATTCAATAATCATGGATGTCCGAGTCTAGCTCGTAGTTCTTTTTGTTTTGGCTGGTAATTTGGTGTGTGACGGTAGAAGTTTGGCGGTTTCAGATGTTTCAGGTTATCACTTCATTGTATATGATTTTTTATAGCTCAAATATCATGGTTTACTATTAAGTTTCGAGTCTATTTGTTCACTGTTGTCGTATAGCTTACGATTTTGCGAATTCTCTGTGATTATGATATACTCCCTCCGTCTCTTTATTAGAGTCCCCTTTTTCTTTATTAGAGTAATAAATGTTAGAAAGGGGACTCTAATAAAGAGATGGAGGGAGTAAGTATCTGATTGATCAATACAACTATTGTTACAATTGTTTTTGGTGCCGCATACCTTAATTGTTTATGAAATCTGTTTCTATATTCTTCTGTTTGTTAACATTAATTCACAGAATCTCTAATAGGGATTGTTAAATTTCGTAGCTTACTTATATGTCTAATGTATTAGTGACTTAATGACTATGTCCATGCATATGCTATACAGGCCATATTGATACTGATTTGGTTGTCATATAACCGAGAGCAAATGAATGTTGTCTGCATACTCATACCCAGAATACCAGATAGCATTAAGCCTTCCTGTTCCATATTCCTCATATAGGCCTTTGCCTTGGATGTGTCACCAAATTTCATTCGATTGATGAATTTCAGAACTACCTTGAAATATTATGGCTATATGTGTATGTTCCATGATTTTTTCTCTTTCCAATGTCATTGGCTGTTGGGTTTTTTGAATGGTCAAGATATCCTTTTGGAGTATTAGAAATAAATGGCATGTATTTTAGGCGTCGACTTTCATTTTCTTTTTTTCATGTTGGTTTGGATCATATGTTCCTTGACTGGATTGTATTTTTATTGATGCTATTGAGATGTGATGGAAGGTCACAAATTTATCATAATTGGACAATGCCATGTAATTTTTACTTTTTTGTTTTGTTTGCATACTGATACTCTCATCTAGGTTCTGTTACTAAAAATATGGAGAAATATCTTTATGAATTTGTGTTGTGATGTACTGCTGTCTTTGTGAGAGCTATCTTGAATCGTATATTGAGTTAATAATTGCATGAGAGGCATTTGACTTTGGAAATATAGAGGTTGTGTTAGTTTAGATGAACTACTATGAGAGGGGGGTGAATAGTAGTAGGTTCCAATCGCGGAACTTAAGTGGAAATAAACAATTAAAACGTAAAGGAACTTAAAGCACACAACAAGTTTTACGAGGAAACCATCCAGTGCCTAACTGGAAGTAAAACCTCGGCCCTATTGGGACTTATAAACAAATTCCACTATAATAGGCAACTCTCCTAGTACAACCTTTTACACAGACCTTCCACCACGGACACTTGACTATATGATAGGACACCTCCTACCAGACCTAAGACACCTCCTAGGACCTTTTCTCCCTTTACCCAGGACACTTCCTAGGTGACCCAAGACACCTCTCAGGTTCCTTTCACTCACTGTGCACTCACAGCTACCACTCGAATTTTAGAGAATTCAAACTCATACACAAGTGTGAATTTAAGAGAATTCACAATCTTACCCCAAAACCAATTACAACACAAAGACACACTCTAACACATAAATGGAAAGCTACACATGAAACCCGAAATCAAAATGATAAAGCTTTAACCTTTGGCAAACTTACTCTTAAGCACTAAGTGGTTTTCACGCTTAAAAACTCTCATTTTGCTAAGCTGAAGTACTTCTATATTTATAGGAGTTTCTCAGCTACACAAACTAGGATTTTCGCAAATAAGATAAATCAAACATAAATCTGATCTTATCTTCTTTAAAATCGAAATCAAAACAGATTTAATTTCGCTTTATCTGAAAACCAATTTTATCAAATTCGTTTTAACTAAAAGATAGAATTTTATGAAAAAGATAAAACCGAGTTAAATCAGATTTTATAAGATAAAATCAATTAAGTATTTTTTCATAAAACTAAAGTTATCTTTTACGAATTAATCAGCTTGCCAAGCTTTATCTGACTTCTAATAAATTCCATGCATAACAACCATTAATATGCTTACATCAACCTACAAAAACAAACTTATCTTTTATTCAACTATTAAGTTATGAAGTTCATCTTTTTCGATTGATATCTCGATCTTTGCACTGATCCTTGGTTATTGAGGCTTGCCCCAGCATTACATTGGAACCAGGTCGTTACAACCCGTTTTGAAGTTCCTGTTGAGAAACTTCAGGAAGTTCCATTGCTAGAACTCTTCTTCTGTCTTTACTTATCCTCTTGGATCTTCTAAAGTTCCTTTGTCTCAGTTCCTACTTCAGCCACTGCTTACTGAACCTGCAAACATCACAACACTAGAATATCCTTATTAAAAGGAAGTTTGCTCAATTCTTAACATCATCATCAAAACCTCATAAGGGTCAACAATTTCCCCCTTTTTGATGATGACAAACTGAGCAAACTCCTGAGGATAACAAGTAAAGAAACAGAAGGTTGATTTTTCATTTTTCAAATTTTTTTTTATAGGCTAATTAAAGAAACTAGACAGAAATAAATAACAAAATGAAAAGAATGAAAAACAAACAGAAAGCAAGTAAACAATTTAGAGAAGAGAACAACCTTTGTTACTTACTCAACTGGAACTAGAACAACCTCAGCTTTCCAAGTTTGCTCCTGCTTTTTCCCCCTTTTGGCATTATCAAAAACCTGACTTTTCAAAGTTTTATTCATCTACTCACAGCCCCACAGGCAATTCATCGAATATGGGAAGCTGGAAGCAGCGCTGGCTAGCTCTCTTAAGCTAGTACTTTCACACAAAATACCCTGTTTTTTTTTTTTTAACAAGCAATGCATGCATGTATAGACAAAGTTCCAGGATTTAAACTTAAAAGCATAGAAACCATCCAAAAAAGTTAAAGTTATTACAGACCAAGTTCCAAATAACGAAAACAACCAAGTTCCAAAATCAAACAAAGTTCAAAAACATTCAAAGAAAACAGATCATTGTTCCAAAAACCAACAGAAAATAGATTAAACTAAGGGATGGCTGGGATAGGCTGCAAAGGTGATCAGACATCAAGCGCTTTCAAGATTTGCTCAAGATCTGCCTTGTTGTCTTCTTGAGCTTTCTTTAGTCTTGCTTCAAGGCTTCAGATGGCTTTTTGGAACTCCTTAGCTTGAGAGGCATTGGTCCTCTCCATTGTCTTCATCTTTCCTGCCATGTCAAGGAACTGTCCTTCAACCTGCATAAGTCTGTTAGACAGATCATTAATTATCTCATCAGCTCCTCCATCTCCTTCACTAACTCCAAAGGATCATTTGCACTTGTTCTGGCCTGAGTTCCAACTGAGAGCCTTCTGCTCTTCCTAACAGGACCTCTCAGCTGGGACTCCTCTTCCTTCCCTTTCTTTTTCTGCGCTTCATACTTCACGCACTTCCCCCTCACAACAGCAAGGCTTAATCCCCTCAGAGTAGTTTCATTTATCACATTTTCTCCTTTCTCCCTCATATGCCCATAAAATTCCTTCAATTTCACACCCAAATCTTCAAACACAGAAGCAAGAATTGCAGCATATCCTATTTTTAATTCTTTTTCTTTACATTGCTCTAAGTGTTGGAGCATGATTGCTGGGAAATTTATTTTAATTCTTTTGGACATGCAAAAGATTAAGGCCATATCTAAGTAGCACAGTTCATTTTTCTTTTGTGTCCTTGGAACCAAGGACTTTTTCACCAAATTAAATAACAGTTTGTGCTATGGAGAAAGATCATTGTGATTCATGACACTTACACCCTTCCTACCACCCAAGTAATTAACAATTTCAATTTTAGTATGCCCTGCCACCTTCACAGTTACAGCTCTTTTCATATAAGTATCAAACCCCTCACAAGGAACTTGAAGCAGAGTTCCTAGTCTAGCAGCATCAAACTCAATATCAATACCATTCACTTTGCTATAACACACACCATCTTCAAATTCACACTCCTTAACAAATTCATCCATAGCCAGAGGATACAGATAGTTTTTTGCTTTCATAGTTAACATAAAATCCCAACCCTGAAACTTAAGCAGATCTAGAAATTCGAAATTCACCATTCTACACCATGCATCATCTATTCTATACCCTACAACATACCTGTCAGCTTGACTCTTCAAGGCTTTGTCATCTTCTTCCCCCTCAGAATCATTCTTTCCCTCTTCAG